ACATTTTGCAAGGAAAAAAAAAATACAGGAAAGTAAGCAAATAAGGAAAAACCAATTGATTCAGAGGCAGATTCCACACACACATAATAAATCTGTCTTTACCTGAGACAGAACAAATAGAATAGAACCAAAAAAATATTCAAATATATATTGTAAAAAGAAAGAAAATATAAGTATGTTGGTTCTGTGTTGTATTTCAGGAAAATCTGATGCAGAACAACCAACCTTAAGACACATCCTGAGGGTTTATTAAAATTAAAGGATAAAAAAAAAGAATTCAACATGCATCAAAACCAGAAAAGCAAATCACCTACAAGCCAGAGAAAAACAAAATAAAACAAAACAAAAACACAGTCTGGCCTCTGAAATCTTATCTGCAATGTTCAATGCCAGATGACAGTGTTACAATGTCTAAGACTTCCAAGGGTATTTTGTTTTGAAAAAAAAAAAAAAATTTTTTTTTAAGTGTGGAACCCAAATTTTATATCACCAGGCTGTTTACATACTTAAACAAACAGAATGCTATTCACAAATGAGCAAGGCTCACTGAATATGGAACTCATGGATAACTCTGTAAAAAACCATTTGATGAAGCCAGTCAGCAAAGAGATGAATGAGGAAAACAAACAAAAACCTCAGGAATGAAGAAGCTGTAATTGATGGTGGGCAGGAAACCCATTCAAATATAAAATTAATGCACCTGTGACAAAGTGGAAACCAGAAGGTAAGTATTAAGAAGAGGAACGTGTAAGCATGATAAATATTTTAGAAGTTGGTTTGTGAAGGAAAGAAGTGGGGAGGGAGGGGGGATTTAAGAGCATGAACATCTTTACCTGTCATAGGAAGAACTCATGATATACTTTCTAAATTTGATAAGTTAGAAAAAGACTTAATTACCTTAGAAACTAATCATAGATTTGGCGTCGGTTGCAATTACCAGAAAAGCTATCAACACAGATTAAGCTGAAGCAAAAAGGTGAATTAAGAAAGGACCCTGAGGAAACCAAAAATCGGAAGGGACCCCCCAGAGCAACTAACGCGAAAGCGTCAAAAGATACCGGACGTCCCCATCTCACCCGCCAGCACCTCTGAGAGTTTATCTACATTAAATTTTCTCCATTCGCATAGAGGAAAAGTCTGACGAAGAGCTCCAGAACATTACCCATTACTGCTTTAGGCTTGGGTCTTGGTTTCTTTTTCTGCTTATCCGTTCTAAAATCCTGAGGCAAGTTTTCTGAGTGACCTGCTTAGGTCAGGTGTTCAATTTTGAGCCAATCAATTACGACAGGAAACAGAGCTGAAGAAAGAGATGTGATTGGCCCAGGGTTAAGTCACATGTACTCCGCTGAACCTATCAACTGTGGCCTGGACGCCCTGGCAGAGGTCAAGCGAGTGGGGTCGGCGGGACGGGGGTATCCCCAAAGGGGAGAGTTACTGGATAGAGAGTAATAGATTTAGGTCAAGTTGGCCTCAAATATGCTCAGAGTTACCAGCACTACTTACCGAACAGCTCAAATTTCCTGCTTTTGTCCAGTTAGTTGTGACAAAGTGCAAAGCCCTTCAGAACTTTCTTTCCCTCAGGTACAGAAATAGAAACATCCAGGCTGCCTCATCAGGTTGGTTCTCTAGGTGTTTATGGGGAGCAAAGCCCTCCTGCCAAGCTGTGGTGGACATATGCTGTGAGAAATAGACATTTATCGCTTTAAGCCACTGAGATCTGATGCATTTTGTTACTCCAGCATCACTTAGCCTACCCTGTCGATAGTCCATTCTTTTCTTCTATTTCCGCTGTGATTCCTCACTGCCTATTGGCTGCTAACTGCATCACAGCGGAACAAGTCCGCTCTGATGCACTTTGCTACTCTTCTTCCCTCCTGCTAGTAAGGAAACACCCTCCACTTCTTTTGACCCTCTGTCAGCGGAGGTTCCCAAAGGGCTGTAGGGTCCCTGGTGAGAATATGGCTTCTTTATATTCCAGGCAATCTTCTCAAAGACGGCAGATACTGGGCCCCGGGACAGACGAAGGTAGAGCGCAGATTTTTAAGCACTTTTACTTCAACCATCATCCATTCCAAAATTTTTACCCTGATATTTAATTTGTCATAGGTTCCTAGATTAATGCTTCACTTTTCTAAAATTTTTATTTCAAAGCTGAATATGTCTCTTCCTCCTATCATGTGGCTTCTTTTATTGATCTCTTTCTCCAAACCATCAGACCTCAAAGGGCTCTGAGTGATGTCTTACAGTGTGGCAATACAGTCTAATACAAGGACTCTGACAGAGGAAACCTTCATAAGCTGAATGTGAAGGACAAAAAAACAAATTAAAAGGTTTACTTTTTATGGAAGACTTTCTATCAATGAATGTACTGAAGCACGAAGAACTAATGGTTCTCAACCAGGGAATGACTTTGCCTCCTAAGAGGACATTTTGCAGGATCAAGAGACATTTTTTGGTTGTCACAACTTGAAGGCATGTTACTACTGACATCTAGTAGGTAGCCCAGGCTAAAGTCGACTTCATTAGGAATTTGTGTCTTTAATTAGGACTTTGCTACTTCGGAGGCTGCCATGTCACTTCTCCTTGAACACAACATGCTATCTCTACTTGCAACCAACCGTAAGTACGACAAAGGAAATGACACAATACAAGTAGCAAATAGCATTGTCCTAAGAGTCACCAAAACTCAGGTCCTATATTGTAACTCTCACTTGTTACCTGATTAAAAGTGGAAGGTTGACTCTTAAGAGAGGCTGTAAATTATTTCCTCATTCTCTTAAGAAAGACCTGAATCTTGCAAGCTTAACAATAATGTATTCTCACAAAGTTAGAAAGGATATCTGAATCACAGTTGATTTTTTTTTAAAGTTACTAGGAGGTAAAAAAATAAATGTTGACCTCCATTTTAATACCCCTGAGGTCCTGAAACAAGGATGCAGAACAAGACCTCTTGTTCTCCTAAACAGAAGTCGAGCCAATAACATAGGGCACTTCATGAGCCAAATAATGTCTGGTGTCCTGGAGCTAAAGAAAATGTTGGCACATCTTGCAAAATCACAGCTGTTTCAGTCTCATTTAGTGACTGTCCCACTCTCTGCAGCCCAGTTTGCCTTTTGAAATATAGCACAGCTAGCTATGCTGCAGCATGTGATTAAAGCAACTGACAAGGGAGGTTTTATTTTTTAGCTCTTTGTCTCAAAAGCTTTAGAAATCTTGACAAGCACTGCTAAGAAACACAGATTACTTTTTTAGAAAGAAGATGCATAGAGATTTCTTAATGTGCACATGATTGTGCACATTTTTATCAAGAAACTAAATGCACTTTGGAATCATGATGGTAAAAAGGTAGCTTTCTAAGATAAAAAAAAAAGTTGAACTAATTTAATCATACACAGTGCTGTTGTTAAGAAAAGATCTCTGCGACTTCACTTACCATGTGCATTTTTGTAGGTTGCAAAACAGTCTGCCAGCAAGCCCTTCAGAGTCAGACCTTTGAACTAGATAATCAACTGATAACCATTAAAAAAATTAAAAGGTTAAATGAAAATAAGCTCCAAATGCTAATCACATGGTACCATTCAGTTCTCCAATTATATAACTGTGTTTTGAAAGATTGCTAAAGTAAAATTTTCAAAAAATTTAACATCATGACTCTCAAGCAAATAAAATATGAGTCTGTGGTCAAAAGTTTAAGGCAAAATTTTCAAAAAGGTAAAACAGCAATTCCTATGTAAATGTAAAATGAACATACATCAAAGATTTTATTTAAATAATTCATTAGCGAGGGAACCACTAAGATGGTAAAACCATTTCAAAGAGTGTTTCAAAAGCTAAGGTAATATTAGGATAAGATTGCTGGACTAGATATAAAACTGGTTAATGTCCAACAGAATAATAAACTGTAAAGCCATTAGAGTTGTCTTTTCCACCAGGCAGAAATTATTTGCGTCTCTATGGGATAAAAATCTATACGTTAACCTCTGCCCTACAACATTGTTAAGTAGACCATTCAGTACAAAAGCAAGGCCAGCTTTGCATTGAAAGAACACTCAAAAATCTCTTCTGGCTATTTCCAAGTGTCAGATAATTTTTCCAGTAAGTCAAATTATCTTCCATGAATGAAAGTTCTTAATTCTTGATGATACTATTTTTATTTTTATTTTTATTTTTTTAAAGATTTTATTTATTTATTTGAGAGAGAGAATGAGAGAGAGCATGAGAAGGAAGAGGGTCAGAGAGAGAAGCAGACTCCCCACCAAGCAGGGAGCCCGATGCGGGACTCCATCCAGGGACTCCAGGATCATGACCTGAGCTGAAGGCAGTCGCCCAACCAACTGAGCCACCCAGGCGCCCGATACTATTTTTAGAGAAAAGTCTTTATCATCTTTCCTTGACCCACGTACAATTTCCATATCATATTTTCAGACTAGTGCCCTAAGTGTGCCTTCCTTTGTTCTGTGCTGAGATAAACATTAGAATTTCCTGAGATACTATGTAGATAAATCTACATCTAGGTTATTTATTCATTAGATATAATGTAATATATATTTAAAGATATGAGGGAATAAACAGGCTATTATACAAGTTCAGAGATTACAACTTTTTTGAGCGTAAGTCTAAGACATTTTATATTTTGATAAGTTCCCCAGGGTGTCTAATAAACTTAATAAATATGACTGTTATAAAGATAGCCTTAACTATAATTCTAAGACTCACTCCCAGCAAAGAAAAACAAAAATTAAATAGTCTCTTACAGTTTGTGATAGCTGTTACCTAATTTGCATACCACTTAAGACAATGCTCTTTGTACACCAAGAGAAAGCATAAGATCACTAGGAACAATATCAAATATATGCATATACAAACACAATCCAATAAAATTCTTAATTGTTCAATTGTTTCTTTTATCATGGACAGTGGTAGCAGTCTTCTGTACTTAAATTCTGAAAATTAACCCATGTACAAAAGAAAACCCATCTACCAAATAAAAAGCACACATCTTTAATTTCTAATATTTTTATTACAGACTTTTAAGATATGTATTTATTTTCATATTATCAGCCTAAAGAAAATAAGTCACAAAAATAAGCTTTTGTATGTCTGCCAAGGTAAATTGTTCTACTTCAAATTTATCAAGTTATAAATAAACCACATAATATGCTTATGTGAACCAAACCACAGCATAATCTGAGTGCATTTGAAAGGCACAGAGTACTCTCATTGTTTCAATAAGAGAAAAGAAGAGCATTACTTAGGATTAAAAGCCTGGCCCTGTAGCTATCCATTATTCAACAATAATATGGCATGAATTATTCACTGATTATAAAACAAAATACTGTGTTAAAAAGCAAAGGTGACTAAAATAAACATGTGTTCCTGGACCTTTCATTTAATATTAAGCATGTCAGAATACCTGGAAGCAAATAAACAAAGCAAGACCCACATAAGGGAGAACCAAGCTGCCCAAAAGCTGTGTAGCTTGAGACGCAACATTAAAGGTCATTTTTAAGGAGACTGGATTCCCACCACTAATTTCACAAATTTGAATAAAAATGATCTATTCCATAAAAAGCTTATTAAAATGCGAGTATGCCACCTCGATAAGACAAAGTATAAGGCAACTTGACAAAGAGTTCTTTCAAGTCAGTGGCTCAAAATAGAACCTGGGTCTCCAAGCTTTTGTTAGGCTTATTTTTTATTAAAATCCTGATTAATGAGAGAAAAAGGGATCTTAAAAAGCCCAAAGACAGCAGGTAAAAGTGGAGACTCAGGAGAGCCAAAGAGTGCACAGAATGTGTGGAATCAGAGAAAGGAACTCAAAGGGATAATGGAAGAGAACGGTCTGAAGACCACGTCTCCAAGGGTCAGCCCAGCAAATAAGGATGCTAAAATGTAGTACTTGAATGTGAGCCTAAGAAAGTTATGCTTAGACGATCAAATCCCTCTCTCCTTGACCCGTCTTCTCTTCTAGTTACCATGTGTTGTTTTGACATTTTGCCCCTATACATTTACATTAGTTAGAATCTATAGGTATATATTTAAAAAAAAAAAACAGTCTTTATTGTAATGTCTTTAATAGTTCTAATTTACAGTGATATTAAGTGACTCGATTAGAACACATAAAATGCGGTGTTTTAGCAATAACATACAGAACTGAGAAAACAGAGAATTGAATGCATTACAACATCTTAAATTATATTTTTCAACTTTCAGGGAAAAAAGAAGTCAGTATATCAGCTTTTAAATAAGGAGTGGGTGAGGTGGGTGTGGGGGAAATGATGACTTGTTCGAGATTTGAAACCTCTGTATGAACATCTGTCATATGTGATGACATGCATATCTTCCCAGGACACAAAGACCCAACATGTGAATACTGTATGTCTATGTCCTATGCTTAATTAAGAAGTTGGCAGAGGGATGGGCGCCTGGGTGGTTCAGTTGGTTAAGCGACTACCTTTGGCTCAGGTCATGATCCTGGAGTCCCTGGATCGAGTGCTGCATCGGGCTCCCTGCTCGGCGGGGAGTCTGCTTCTCCCTCTGACCCTCCCCCCTCTCATGTGCTCTCTCTCATTCTCTCTCTCAAATAAATAAATAAAATCTTTAAAAAAAAAAAAAAGTTGGCAGAGGGAGTTTGGGGAAAATTATTTGAAGCTTAATGTTGTCCAAATTCACTGTTTTAGTTCTAGTCATGTGCTTTCATTGAGGAGAATTGAAAAGAGTCAGGTTTTAATTTATTTTGTTCATATTTCTCATATTAGAATAAGCTAAACAATATATTTAAATGCACTCAATATCTAGTTCTACTGTCAATATCTGAGCAATATCATTTAAATCAATTTAAATATAATTAGAAGAAGTCTGAAGAAAACCATTATTATTAAGAAAATATACAAAAACTATAGCATATCCTTTGTAAAAATGACAAAATTTGTTAAAAGAACATCCATTAAAAAAAGGCACTCTATAAGTATAGTTTCAAATAGGTAACTTATACCTTAAAATTGTTAATGTCTAAGCTACTAGACATAAATTGGACCAAAATTGAGAAAGCAAAACTCCCTAACACATAAAGGAGGAAACTGTGATTCTTCCTTCTCAGATTCACAGAGATGGCCAGTCATTTATAGATACAATAGAATATATACTGGTGCTTTTGTAAATAACCCACCATTTCTATGCAGAATTATGGTATACCCTGGTGTTTTTGCAGATCACATGCCTCAGTTTTCCAATGCAGAACTGCCTCTGGGTCATATTGGGATGGCTCTGTTTTAACAATCAGCAACTGAAGAATGTCAGTTCTTGGTCAGACCAGTCAATATGGCATAAAATATGCTTTGCTGAAGGAGTCAGCACCTCTGGTTTACACTGTTCTGTTAAATGGCATGACAAATGTTTTAACAAAGCTAGCTGGAATAATAATTGCAACCATTCTGTATAATCAGATGTTGAGACTCACATGATCCAATGTTAGAGAAAAATATGAACAAATATTTTTTGAGGAGTATGTTTTTTAAAAGGTTTTAAGTCTGCTTATCATGCTCAAACCCATCATATACACTTGGTTAAATTCATTTATTTTATATATTCATTTACACTGCCTCATTCCTAAAAAGACTTGAGGTTTGTGTACTTGATTTTAAAACCAAAAACAAAAAAATGCATAAATATATCTAGTATTCTAGCCAGAAGATCCTTTTATTCATTCATAGGTAATACTTTGGCCCCATGTGCATTGATGTAAGTAAGAAGGATTTTGGCTCTCTGCTCTATGACATCAATAAGCTTTTCAATTCCTTGTCTACCTCCTTGACTTTCCCAATAAACTTTATCAAGAAACAGGGACTGAAGGAGTTTCTGCCGTAAGTGCTGGCTCTTCAAAACAGAAACTGCAGATTCGGGAAACCTGAGAAGATAAAATGATATTTCATTTTTAGTAATTGCTTAGAAATATTATGCCTTACCCAATTGCTTTGCCCTTCATTAATCTGGCATAAATCACACTATCAAGTAGTACCTGGAGAATGAAAACATTTTTGTCACTGTCAAGCTGACACTTCTCTTAATAATAATATACTAGAAGAATATGTTTCAAGGGAACTGAATTTTCCATGTTGAATTTTCCATTGATAACTTGGCATACTAACATCTTACATAAAGTCATTATCTGTAGGCAAAGAGAGGCACGGAATTAAAGAGTTCTGTTAGCCCGGCAAAAATACTTTCCTCAATCTTAAGCTCCATTTCACCCATAGAAACCACTTCAATCTGTCAAGTAGAAGAGTATCCTCATAAGTGTCAATGTGGGGTTTTATGCAAGAAAATATGAGAAGCAAAATGCTGACAAATGCATGACTGAATTTAATGTGAAATAATCCAAAATGTAGGTAGCAAAAAGAGAAAGGAATCATTCCATAATGCCCAATTAAATAAAGAATTGTTTCTGATTCAGATTATACTTCAGGAATTCTGAAAATCTGGGAGCATTTTACTAAATTGGAATATTAAAGTGTTTTTCAAATAAATTTAACAACACTCAAGTTTTAGAGCCAGGCATTCCACAGTGACCCATCTCTGGAAAACCTGAGGCCAATTTGGAAGGGTCCTTGTTGAACTACCTTAAGAGAGCACTTTGTGCTTCTTGCTCTGCATTTAGAAAGTAAAAACAAGGGGTCTAGCATGTACATTATCTGAAGAACTTTGTCAAGTTTCAAGTTCAAACTCATAAAGAATGTTTTGCTGAATCCTCAATTGGCCCATCCAGCTTTCTTTGAAATACTGATGAAAGCACAATAAAAATATTGGGGTTGCATAATAAATTTCGCATAAACGTAGTTGCTCCTTAACAACTAAAACAGGAACATATCCTTGTTCGAGGAATACAGTTTGCCCAAAGTTTCAGGCCTCCTAAATGCCTTTTCCAAATTTCAATGGAATGAGCTAAGGGTGGCATTCAGGGAGCATAAATGCAAGGGACCCAGGTGCTCCAATGCTGCAGAAAAACCAGAGGCCACAGAGCTGGACTCGCTTAATGAGTCTGAGTAAGTGTGGAATTAAATAATGCTGATAAGATGCTCTGAGCTCCCTGAAGACATGTACTATATAATTTAGTGGCCATAGTATTAATTAAGTAAGCATTTTTGCTCTATGAACTATTAATAATCCATGATTTACAAATTCTATGACCCTTCAACTAATTTAGCTGTGGTAGAATGTATGAGATAAAACTGTGAAATCCATGGATCTCTTTAGTGACTAATCCTTTTCATAAAGGAAAAGCAAAAAATTACCTGTCTGTGCATTATATTGATTAATAGGAAAATTCTATGCATAAATCTGGGCTAGCAGTGTCTTCATTTTTGCTTTTCAATGTGTGACTTACTTATTCAAAAAAAAATTAACTTTACATTCATTACTCCTCATATTGCATTTAAAGTTAACTTCTTTGAAAGCATAAAGCAGTATTTATACTCATATGAATGTATAGAACAGATGGACCATATTCTTAGGCACTCCTAATTCCAAGAGAAAATTTAGAGATTTAAGAAGACCCCAAAATATCAACTCAGTAAGTGATGCCTTTGGTCAATTTTTCTACACATAAAATTTCCTTAGTTTAGTCACATTAAAGAAAGAATCTGTCATATATTCTACCTTCAATCCATAAAGAGATGTAAGAATGAGTATTAACAGGGCAAGATATGGCAAAAACTCATGAAATTGGGGCTCATGAAACTCTCATGAGAACAGTATTGTCTCTAGTCCTGAAAGTACATAAAATCCACACTACCTGATTAGAAGTGCTAAGAACAACTAATGAAACACACTTCAGAGCATTGTTACCAAGACTAATAGTAACAGCATGAACAGACACAAGTTACTGCAGAAAAATGATTGGACTTGGATTTGGAAGATTGGGGTTCTACTCTCAATTTTAGAGTAGATGTGCTCTTCATGTGCTCTCCACCAGTCACTTAGCTTCACACAGCTGGTTAACTCTTTTACTATTGCACCCCTCTATTTCCAATTCTCAAACATACCCCAGTGTCTTGGTCACTGATTTCTGACTAGGGTAGGAAGGCTATGAAGAGTGGCTATGACCTGGGGCCTAAAATCCAGCCTCAATCTTTGTAGCTAAGGTTGAATGGCCCAGACTCTATAGTGGGTTCCTGCCACTATTAAATGCATTAATTTCCTTTATTTCTTAATACATAAGCTCAAGATACTTTTCTCCTTGGTCTATGTCTACTGGAAAGATTTCCAAATGCTCAAAAACCCTCCTACCTGAATTCAAACAGCCGCTGTCCTTTGATACTGTGCCCTAATTAGAAGATTAGCTCTAATTTCCCACCACATTCAGAGAAGTCTCTTGAGTTTATTATGCCTTTGGACATCCTGCCATGTCAATATCTGTGAGTCTGTTAGTCCCCCTGCCCCATGCCCTGATAATGGAGCTCCTGCCACCTCCTCATCCCTGCTCTGCCAGTTCCTATTCCTAAGGTCCCTGCATGCTTCCAGCTTTACCCACATGGATTTTCACAGTGAGGGCCAAGGAAATGTAGTGGGAGTTTTGTAGGTTGCATGGGTTGGTGACACTTGACACCGTGGCTGCAATCCTGTTCTATTCTGCTTAGGTCTGGTTCCCATTTCTGGGCCTCCATCCCCAGATTCCACATCCACAATTCCTTTCAAGGGTTAGATCAGTCACACATAGCATTTGAGTTTTCTCAAAACCTTTACTACTTATTTAATAGAAATGTGATGTCCCATAGATTTTACTACATCTTAAAACTTACTCTTTGATGCCTTCTAACAATTTGAAGTTTAAGTTATCTTCGCTTCTGTCAAAGAAACCCTTGTTGTCTATGAAGACCAAATGCCTTGGGTCATGCTTTCGCTGGATAACGTGTGCTAGAGCCACAGAATCTTGGTGGTCACATTTTGGCCTCAGTCCATTCTGTACACAGGCATCTTCCTTTCGAGGTCGGAATCCACAGCAATTTGTATCTAAGCGATTATAAATCTGAAAATGGAAAGCGAAAACAAAATCCAAGATGCTGAGTAAAAACAAAACTTGGGAAAGTTAGATTTCTGGAGAATTAGTGCTTTCTAAATAGCTGACTTTCTAGAATCTAATAAGGCCAGGCTCATTTAATTAAAGGCAACTGTCAGAGTAAGTCCAAAGTTCATATCCTTTTGACTCAGCCATGGTTAAAAGCATTTCCAGCTTCTAACAGCTCTAACGTCAGATCATCCAAGTTAGACATCTCCACCCTTAATATTCAAAGTTCCCACTGACATCATATGTAGACACATGGCCAGAAGAATCTCTGACTCTATTCCTGACAGAAGATAGAAACCATTGCACTTTTATATAACTATAGCTTGTTTTTTTCCTTGAGTTGGGTTATAGAAAACCTGAGTTATCTCAGTGGCTCTAAAAGTTTCCTGCATCCCCTAACCAATCTGGACTTTAGAATTACACTATCTAACCTGAAATAAGTAACATAGTACAAATCTTTTGAAAAGATGTGACATCCAATAATGATACAAAAACTACTACCCATATGGAGCCCACAGCTAGATTCTAAATAAGTGAGCAGGATGAACAAAATTATTGGGCCCAGTGGGGTTTATTATGGAAATAGGGTTTCTATCCTATAGAAGAGGTAAACAGATTAACGAGAAAGGGGGAATTGTGTTATTTCCGTTTCTCTTGGGCAGGAAAGAAATAACATTTATTAATCAGGGTCAATTAAAGCTTCAGCTTAGGAATTAGATAAATTTCAAGTCAAATCTCTGTGACCTTGTGTAGATTCCTTTACATCACCGACTCTCAATTTAATTACCTATATAATGGGAATGGTATTATGGCACTGTACCTCGTCAGTTAGTAGGAAGATTAATGAAAATGTTTATACACAATCCAGCCCTAACCCAGGCATCTAGAAGATACTCAAAAAAATGAAAACAGTTATATTGTTGAACCCACACATATACACTATATAAAATGATTTACCTCAAAACAAGCTTCCAAGACAAAAGGCAATTTCTCCATATTAATGAAGACAAATTGAGTCTCAGAGAGGTTGAATAATCTGCTCTGGGTAGAATACAGGTAAGTAGCAAAGTTAAGATACAGACAGCTATATTTGTCTCCAAAATTGCCATACACTCATGATTCAAAAGACGGCTGGCCATAACACTGTCACTTTTATTCCTTTGGCACTAAATTCCCATTATTTCTCTTCCCCTGTTTTTATAGATCCTGTGGGCCTAGCCACTCTAGGAGGTCAATTGCTCAAGAAGGAATGCAGAAAGAGTAGTGCCAAAGTTTAGCCTACTTTGAAATGATCATTCATTCATTCATTCATTCATCCGACAAATGTTTATTGAACATCTTCTCCCATCTATCAGTGGGCTAGGCACCAAGGCAAATGTTGCCCATGGTCATTACCTCCCCCCACCACTACTCCCAAAGGAAAATGAAGTGGTCATTTAATCTTGCCTCATTACCACAGCAAACTTTAAGAACTGGACAAGTGACCTTCCTCTCTGTTTTCTGTACATAAGTGAACTTTGTATCAAATAGCATGTTTTGAGAAACAGGGATTACAAAGAGGTCAGCCTAAGCCAATTTTCTGTGATGTTTATGTAAAACCAGTCACATGGGACAGGGGTGGTCAGTGAGCCAAGAAGCATTTGGATAACACAGAGGGTACATTGCTGATCTACAAGCAACCTACAGATAAAGGAAGGCCTCTGTCAGGATTGGTTCCAGGCAGCTGATCCATGGGGCTATAAGTCTAAGCAATGATTTATCCAAAAGGTCACACAGGCTTACTGCAGAGAACAGTAAGTTTCCACTTCTGGTTAAAGTGTCTTTGTCTGACATGAGGACAGGAGTTGCCTAAAGGTAAGCAAGGGTACCCCAAGCAAATCACTATAGGTTAAATGACAAAAAGCACAAATAAGAACTATTAGAAAAAATTATTGAATCCTTTCTCTTCAAACAATTTGATTCATTTTGTGTAGTACCTTGACTGCCTTTGAATCTAAGAGAAATCAAGTGACATATAGAGATTGCATCTGGTTGGCAGTTATTTAAGTTAAGATCAGAGAGTCAGGGAGAACATGAAAAATAACCCTTCTAGAAGCTGCTTCTCACCCAATCTCCCCCTCCTATAAACATTAGCTAATAATTCCCAAAGATTCTCTATACCATGCTCCAACATCATCATATGTTTATAACCAGTTATAAATGACATTATATAATAGAAAAAAAAACAACCCTATTTAATTTTGACCACAACATGCAAGGTCTGTTATGTTGGATAAATGGTCAGAACTTAAGTTTTAAGGACTAATCTATCAACCACTTCATAAATGGTACCCTGAACCCTGAGCTTTTTCTTCACTGTTGATTTCATACCAGTGAAGAAAGGACTAAAACCTATAGCGACATTTCTGTTGTTTCTACAACAAAGCCATGAGTCAAATATATTAATGTTAAATAATAAGCACATTAGAGTTTAGACCCCAACTTTCAGTACTCCTATAAATATTATACTTTTCTATTTTTAAACTACAGGAGAATGTTAAAAGTCAGAGGTGGAAAAGACCGATTTAGGTCATTTTTTTATTGCCTTCCCAGCATTAGATTGTTTCCTACAGTGTATTTTTAAAGTGCTTTGTCTGATCTAATTTTGAATCACTCAACAGTCTGTGATGATTTCACCACTTCCCTAGCAGACTGTCGTTGTGCCATTCAAGTCTAACAGACCTTATTATTAAAAATGGGTGTGTGTTCAGCTGAACTCCTTGTCCAGAAAATGTTCACCCCCCACCTTCTATTCGGAACTACACGTGAAGTTGGTGGGTATGTTAATGCATGTTGAGTGTGTGTGCGGGTGTGAGCATGTACACCTACAAATATAGAATCAGACTGTAAGGCCTCAAATAATCTGGGTTTCACTTCATTTTTCTTATCCTCTAAGTGTAGCAAATTATGTCTTTGTATTACTGCCCTTGTCTAGCAAGGGTTTAAGTAGCTCTTAAATCTTGTTCCCTAGCTCTTCTCAGAATTTTGTTTATAGTCTTCCTTTTGAATTCACATTCACTGTACCAAAAATATTTTGACCACAAAACCATAACCCACTCCCTTAAATTCAGTGCCATGTTGCTGGGCATTTAATTTAGTTATATATTGAATATATTCCTGCTTACTTCCAAGAGAGTTAACGGATTTTTTTAAAGCCTAATAAAGCATATCCTAGATAGCTATGAATCCATAATATGGTTTCAGTATATTTTTTTGGCGCACACATTAAAACAATCATTTCATTTAACTACTGCATAATTAAGCACTGTAGTTCACATCCACGGGTCTGCATCCTTAGATAATTATCCTACAAAGAAGATTCATTGGGGGTAAATCTTATCAGTTAAGCGATCGTGAGTATTGATGATCATTAATGCAACTTGTTCAAATTCACAACCTCTCACTCTTTAAAACAAGGAAAATCTTTTACAGAGTTGATCTTCTGAATCTTAAGATGACTACCAACCATCATTTTCTGTAAAATTGCTCTTTCCTCTTTTAGGAAAATATATCTTTTCCATGTTTACCTAACTAAAATTATACTCAGAAAAATCCAGGTGTTCCAGCCAAATTTTTTTTGTTGGTGGGAATATTTTTAGATATACTGCCTTCTTCTAAAATTCCTTTTTTTAATTCCACTTTCCTTGTGGGGGTGTTGCTTTTGCCTGCATGAAGAAAGTATCTTTTGAGTGACTCAGTTATGTTTATGGAGCCTAAACAAGGATGCCTCTGCTGCACTGACCAGCTCTCCAAAGCCCCGTAGGAATCTAGAGAAATCCAATGACTTTCCACCCTTTTGCACACCACCCATTCGAGCTCTGTCTTCAAAAAGTGGCCCTATCAAAGCGATGGCTTCAGTGGGACTAAATGACTAATTTCAAGCAATGTCTGAACAAAAGCAAGAAAAAAAATACTCTAAAAGTGCTGCTAATATTAATGAAAAACATAAGAGCAGTCATTTAGCAAGTGTTTAGTATGTGCCAGGAACTGTACACTTAATGCTTTACACATATTGTTGCATTTAATGCTCACAGCAACCTGAAGGGGTAGGCGCTACCAATGGTCCCATTTGATAAGTGAAGCAAGTGAGGCACAAGGAGACTGGGTGGCTAACCCAAGGTCCCTCACTTCATAAATGACAGAACTCGGGATTTTAACCCAGATATTCATGCCCTTTTCCATCCTGATTATATCTCTTGTGCATAGCCAAGGTGATAGTGCAAAAAAAAAAAAAAAAAGCAAGTGCATTTGTATAGAATACTAAATATCACTATATTCAATAAATGCTGGTTATAAGGTTTCATCAGAAATACAAAAAACGGTACTGTAGGAGTTCAGGTAAAAACGCATGAAGGAGAGGATATTACGGTGGTGTTTTGAGAGACAGGAAGTGTTAGCTAAAAAATAGGCAAAGGCATGAAGGTAGGAAATCAAAAGACATCTTTAGAAGAACTGAGGGTACATTAGACCAGTGCTTCTCGGACTGTCTGTAGTGAAAGATCAGGTGGTTTTGATTTTTCTCTCCCTCAGCACCACAATCCATATGGAGTGTGTTTGTTAAATGATTAATAATAATTTATTACTAGAGAAATAAGATTTTAAAAAATACTAAATACCAGCCAAATATTTGTTAGAATCAACAGATGAAATTCCTCTACCAAATTGCTATCAAAGTTTCTAAGTGCTTATTTGCAATTTTTGTACTTGCCATGAACTAGTAAATTGGCAGGGTCCTGGAGTCACACTTTGAGTAGGACAATGAGAGACGGCGCTGTCAAGGGTTAGGGGAACGTGAAGGTAGGTAGCAGAGCAAAAGGTGGATAAGAGTATTGTGCCTACAAAAGAAAGCCAAATTTCTGATGTGCCTTCAAGTTTCTATCATTTTCTCACGTATTGCTGGAAGGAAGGTCAAAGGCAAGAGA